CATCCCTGCTGTACACACTGAGCTGAGACAGTTTCCTCTGTCACCCCGGGCCGTCAGACCATGACCTCTGTGTTTTTCTTGCCATTTTATCCCACATAATGTGAAGTGCAGTAGCAGTACAGTACAGTAGCAGTACAGTACAGTACAGTACAGTACAGTACAGTACAGTACGGTACTGTAGTTCTCTGGCTGATGTTTACTCTACCAGTGCTGCTGCTTCCATTAGTCATGCTAACGCTGCACCCTCGCCCTGTTCCTTTCTTTTCCTCCTTCTTATGAACACAGTGAGGAGAAAGTCCTCCTTGTTTTCACATCTGTCTTTCTTTTTCTCCCCTTCCTGGCACACCTTTCCTCACCTTCCTCCTCTTCGGTCCATCCGTCTCTCCTCTCTGACGCCCCGATCCAAGTGCAGCTGATTATTGTGAGGGTTGCCATGTAAACACTGCCACGGTAACCAGCCGCTCACATCCAAAACATACACACCTGAAACAAATGAAGGAGAAATTAATCAATGGAAGCGTTGCGCATACGTGCTAGCGACAAACGTTTGGCGGTTTGACATTTTCCAGATGGCTTCTTTGACACGGCTGGACTCACGGGTGACTGTGCTGCAGCAAAGCCTTTGTTGTTTTAGGTTGGATCTGTCAGGAAGCTAGAATTCCTCGGCTGCTGTGACTGATAATAATTAGGAACTCCACATTACGATGATACGACAATTCCTGGCAGAAAACCTCTTTATAATTCACCTTCAGTAAACACAGCTAGTGCAGGGACTTTAAAAAAACATTTTTAAGTATTGACCTTTATTTCTGCCATCTGCTTCTGATCAGCTGTTTAAAACCGGATTAAGTCTTTATGAACATTCGTGATTAATGGACGTACTGGTAAATAAAACAGGGTTTATAATTACAATATTATTGATGCTCAGTTGCTCGTGGTTTATTTTATAAGTTAGCATAATTGCTATAATTAATGTTTATATTTAAACCTTGGAAATCCTCCTTTTAACCAGGAGCTCTTTGGTTTTACGTTACTTTTTTGGTAGTTTCATTATATTTTACCATTTGGCAAATTTTTTAGCCTTTTCTGCTAACTTTTTATTTATTTATGTCTTATAGACATTGTTCGCCAAGTTGTTAGCAATACTGTAACAATTGCTAGAAGTTAACACAAAAATGTGGAAAAGGTAGCCAAGAAACTAAATCTGTGTAAATATGTGAATGATATATAATTTTTTTAAATATTTTTTTTATTAATATTAACAATATTATTTTCATTCCTATGTAGCTACTTTTCTCTTTTCACTGTGCTCGTTTGACACACTCGGTCTGGGCAGTGTTGACCTGGCATCGCCCCGGCAACTGCCATGTTAGCCTGGCATCTCGTTTATATAAATTCTATGACTGCTGTCATTTTGGGGGCGGGCAGGACCCGCAGCAGAGCGGTGGTGGTCCGGGTGGCCGCTGTCGGAGGCTGGCCTCCGACACTAGACACTGAGGGTAACCTGACACTCGCAGCTGCTTATACGAATATAACAAGAAGCAATAAGTTATGACTGACAGAAATCAAATAA